TTAAGTAAATGAAAAATATTCTTACCTTTACTGATTTTATAAAGGCCAACAGCTATCACCAAGATAAGAGCCAGAACTTTCACATATGTGAACACATCCTGTACACGGGTTCCCCACTTCACATTAACACAATTAATAAATGTTAGGGAACCTGTAGAGAAAAAGAAAATGAATGAGAGGAGCACTGATATTTTGCACCAAATAAAGCACTTTTCAAACACATCCTTCCAGATTACCCTTCTTTTAAAAATTAAACAAAATCAAATTTCACCAGTTCAGGACCACTTAGATTTATTACAATGAATGAAATACCTGATTTAAAAGTCACACAATAGTTTTTTGGATGATACTCTTTTTATGACAGTAGGTAAGACAAAACAGATCAGAATAAGAATTTTAGGAATAACTTCTGCTTTTTTTGAATAATCTTTAATTTTTATTAAAGCCACATGAGTTAGTCACATGCAGAAGTTAAGATTTCTCTAAATCTTTTATTTGCACTGAAGTTTTTCCTGAAGGTCTCCTGGCTGATTTGAGCTCTACTCTACTTAGAGAGTAAGGATAGCTTCGGTATGAAAAAGTTTGGATGTGGTTGATAAGATATTGAATTGAGCCAGGCCAGCATGACATTACTCTGTGACCACAGCTTAGGAGCCGTGCCATTCACACTTGACTCCAAGTCTGAACACTACAGAAGTACTTACTTACAGAGTCCTCTCCAGCTTCAGTTTTGATAGAATCAAATAAAAATAACAAAGTAGTGTGGTTGTAGAGAGTGGGTGGCATCAATTAATACTCCTTTCTTCATGAAGTTCAAGAAGGTGAAGTGCAATGTCCTGCACACAGGTCGGGGCAATCTTAAGCACAAGTATAGTCTGGGTGGAGAATGGATTGACAGCAGCCAGAGGAGAAGGACTTGGGAGTGCTGGTTGATGAGAAGCTCAAAAGAGTCGCCAATGTGCACTTGTAGCCCAGAAAACCAACCCTATCCTGGGCTGCATCAAAAGAAGCGTGGCCAGCAGGTCGAGGGAGGTGATTCTGCCACTCTACTCTGCTCTTGTGAGACCTCATCTTGAATACTGTGTTCAGCTCTGGGGACCCAATCATAAGAAGGACATGGAGCTGTTGGAGCAGGTCCAGAGGAGGGCCATGAAGATGATCAGAAGCCTGGAGCACCTCTCCTAGGAAGACAGGCTGGGAGAGTTGGGGTTGTTCAGCCTGGAGAAGAGAAGGCTCCGGGGACACCTTCTAGCAGTCATCTAATACCTAAAGAGGGCCTATAAGAAAGGTGGAGAGAGACTTTTGACAAGGATATGTAGTGATAAGAAGAGGAGCAATGGCTGTAAGCCGTAAAAGGGGTAGATTTTGATTACATCTAAGGAAGAAATTCTTCACTCTGAGAGTGGCGAAGGACTGGAACAGGTTGCCTGGAGAAGTTGTGGATGCCCCATGACTGGAGGTGTTTAAGGCCAGGTTGGATGAGGCTTTGAGCAATCATCTGATCAAGTGGAGGGCGTCCCTACCCATGGCAAGGGCGTTTGAAACTAGATGATATTCAAGATCCTTCCAACCCAAACCATTCTATGATTCTGTCATGTTCTTTACATTTGGTTTTCTTGCAGAAATAAAACTCTGATGAGCATATAAAGTGCTGTGATGTGTGCTGCTACTCGATTGGTAGCAGGTCTACCCAGGGGCTGAGCCACATGCCTACCTCCTCTCTCTCTAGCACACACACACAAAGGGCACCATGGGCAAGTTAATTCTCTTGCAACTCTGTAATTCAAAACAGAGGCAGACGAGGAAATTAAAGGGTATGCATTGGTATCAGGTGCAAAGCCCAGTTGCTGCAGAAGACAGCAGGCCAAATGTGGCTTGGCTGATCCAGAGTGCTCTCAAGCATGGACCAGAAGAGGTTACTTCTTCTCTAGCAGTCTTGTTCGTCTTTCCTTCTGTTACTTTGATCTGCCTATAATCTACACTGCAGTTTTGAAAGGAAGAAAAAGGGTTTTATAAAGCTTAAAATGGAAAGGATTTAGAAATCTTTCTATATAGCACGGAAATTAGCATCCAACCACAGATGCTCACAGCAGAACTTCTTGTCTTCGTAACCATGAGTGACTCTGCATATTTGACAGTGTGTCCTGTTGGCTGTCAAGGTAATAATGAACCTCTTTACTGAAACAGGTCCTGATTTGCCCCCCTATTTCCTATTAATATACCAATGTTGTGCAATGGGCACAGAATTTAGGTTCTTTCTCCTGCTAAATAAAGCCAAAAGGTTGTATAATGATACTTAACGCCTAGTGTAAGGTTTGACTATAATTTTAAACATGTCTATAACTAATAACTTATGTAAACCTTGCTGTAGGAAATGTGGTATATGCATTGAAATAAGATTTTATGCTCTGTAGTTCAAAATAATTCCTTACCGAGCTCAAGCGTATACCTCTTCCTTAAAAGTAGAGTAGTATATGTCATAGAATCATAGAATCATAGAATGGTTAGGGTTGGAAGGGACCTCAAAGACAGAGGTGCAGAATCACCTCCCTCGACCTGCTGGCCACGCTCTTTTTGATACAGCCCAGGATACGGTTGGCTTTCTGGGCAGCAAGTGCACGTTGTCTGCTCATGTTGAGCTTCTCATCTACCAGCACTCCCAAATCCTTTTCCTCAGGGCTGCTCTCAATCCATTCTC